TTGGTTGTGTTGTCTTGATTTGGTTGTGTTGTCTTGATTTGGTTGTGTTATCTTCGTTTGGATGGTTGACTTTGTTGATGGTTATTTCTGCAGCAGTTGTTTTCTTAAAGCTCCTGGGAGGATTGTTTTGGTTGGTTATGGAGCTCACTTAAACTGATCGTGAAATGTTTACAAAAGCAAACAAGACCTTAAGATAGAAGATATTTTCTTCTGTGGAGTTATTCTTATTCGTTACTGCTTTCAGGGGTTGCTGTCATTTTCTAAAGCCAAGATTCAGTATAGGGATATTTGACGGTTCAACTTGGCAGAAGGAGATTTTTCATCAGTAAAACAACTTACACAAGCACAGGACAAGATAGCGGAAGAGATAAGAGGTCAAACTTTGTCTCCAGGGGAATGCTTAGTGTGACACAAAGGTTTGTAGTTGTACGGTGTGTAAGCTCTCAGGTTCACAGCCATATTGTCTTAAGTGGAAATTTATGCCTTTGTAATTAGCATTTAAAATCAAATGTCATTATATGATGAGAGTAAATAAGTGTATAAAGAAGTTTTTATAAACATGTTTGCATGATTGTTATCTCTAATTTACCTTACACACATTTACAGCCATCATAAGATATTGTTTTGTATCCAGCTCCATTGGTTGCCTGATAAATCATTCACAAAAATAGCTATTTAGTTTTTTTAACACTTTATCATACTTATGGTATTCTAAAAACTATCCCTTCATCCAGTGTATCCTCTGGAGTAACTAGGGTTCATCTTTAGAAGCAGGAGATATGGTGACTACACACCATCTTTATATGAGTGAAATACATTAAAAAACTACAAACAGGCTTGTATGGCGATATAAAATAGACTATATGAGTATATTTAATTTCTAAGAACTTCAAGGTTATATATATCAATACTGTTTTTAAGTTCATTAATATTTCACAACTGATGTCAAGACAATGCTTTAATTTTTTAGAATGAAATAGAAACAATGTCATAGGTGACAATATTGTTGAAAGCAGCGGGTTGACTCTGAGTGTCATCATATAAATCATATGTAAGATAGAAAATATGAGACAAAATGTATTAGGAATAACTATAAAATGTTTAATTATATATATATATATATTACAGAATACAATTATATTGTGTCTTGTTGTTAAGTCTTAATCTGCAGTAAAATTTTTGCAGTAAAATATTTTTATACAACAATCCGTTTCATAAACTAGACATGTTCAAGTTATGAAAAAATATGGTCGTGCTTTGTTCTACCTCGGGTATTGGTCTCTCGAAAACTGAAGCCTTTTTTGGGGGTTTGTTCCTCTACTAATAAACAGACTCTGACCTGTCAGACTGCTCCTGAATATTTAATCAGTGTAAAGACGATTCGTCAGAGAAAGGAGGGTCATCCCTTCACTGTCTGAGGTAAAAAACGAAATGCAGCAAACTCCTGAATATCGTGAGTCATCAGTTAATATAATAATAATAATGATAATAGCTTTATTTATATAGCACCTCTAAAAACAAATGTTTACAAAGTGCTGCAACACAACAACTGAACAGAGATCAACAGAGAGGGCACAATTATAAAAATGCAAACAACAGGAATAAGATCCAACAGGCAGGTGTGGAGAGGTAGTTCAAAACAATGAAGGAAAATTACTTTAAAATCAATCAGGAGAGAACAAAATGAAAATTGAGGGAGAGTGTGACGACATCACATCACAGGCTGTAAACACAGAATGAAGATAAAAAGAAGAGATAAACAGGACATTGGTTAAATGAATAAAGCAACAGAGAGCTGAAGAGTTAAACCATAAAAGCAGTAGGAATTTAAAAAAGACTGAGAGCAGTAAAATTGATTAATGGTGTGAATCAGAGGGGATTTAGAAGTGGGAATACACTATGGAGAGTGAAAAATAAGCGGGTATACTCCTGCGTATACCATGCACTGAACAACAGGAACATCAACGATGATGAGCTTCATGTGAAAGTTAATTATGCCCTAAATCATCAAGTCAAGCAAAATAAGAAACTGTGCACTAAATCTATGTCAGATACTAACCAGTTGTCATTAACATGGTTATTACATGTCATTAACGTGATAATTGGGACAAAATCACTTGAGATGTTTTGTGTTTTTCTTCACAGCTGATGAACGTCTAGAGAATCTGATCTGCAACTTAAAGATCTGAGTATATTAAAAGAGAGTTTTAGATAAAACGTCACAGCAGGAGGGAATATCTCAGTGAGATTTCTTTTTTATAGTTTTCAGTTTTACTTGATGATTTTTTGAATGATGTTGAATCACTTCATGTTTCAATGTTGGAGGATTGTTTCACCGTCCTGCAGCTTCACAACGCACAGACGGGACAAACCTGCGCCGCACTCAGTATGTACATTCAGTATAATTAATGAATGAGGTGCAGTAATGTTGGGGGGGGGGGATTTGTTTGTTTGTTTTTCCTGATATTCAAATCTCACCCAGCTTCCTCATCCACACCCCGTCTGTGTTTCTATCTGTCATTGTCTCACACATCAGATAGACCCTGTATGATCTATCATATGTGAGGAATCAAAAAGAAAAACCATCAAATCTTTGAGTTCGTATCCTGACATACGGCTCGTCTCATATCTTGTAGTCATTACAAATGAAGAGGATTATGGCCAGGCATGAAGAAGATGAAATGTAGAAAACAAAGTCGATATGTCCTGAAAAAAAAAGTCGAAATGTCAAAAAATGAAGTACAAATACTATTTTCTGAAAGTACTTTTCAATTAAATCTACATTTTATTCTCGACATTTTGACTTAATTCTTAAAATGATGACTGGACATTTCTTCTTTTTTTTTCTTGTAGTTCAAAATGAATTTAAAAAATCTTCCTCCTCTCATTATTAATTTCTCATGTCACAGAAACTGATAAAAAAAACAAAAAAACATTATTTGTGAAAATATGAAATTGTAATGTGTCTTTTAGGATTTGGAAATATATGTTCTTTTGTATGACAGTCTTTCAATGTATAAAAAAGGACAACACACAGCACTCTAGCCAATCAGAATCGAGCAGCAGCCGCTTTGAGGGACACTGGTTACCTTCCTCCTCGTTATGTGGAAACTTTACTAAAAAGAAACCTGACTGAACCTGAGCTGCAAAAGCTCCCTGAGGTTAATGCTATAAGTTTGGGAACCCTTAGCTCAGTCTGTAGGGTCCTGGGTTTGGAACTGGTGGGTTGCCAGTTGAAATCCCGGTGCAGACTAAATATCTGGAAGTTGGTCAGGTAGCTGGAGAGCTGCCAGGCCACTTCCTGTTTACTGCAGAGGTGTCTTTGAGCAAGGCACTGAACCCCCTACAGCTCTTGTGTCCATAGCCCCCCCCCCCACACACACACAACACACACACACACACACACACACACCACCTCAGGGATTGATAAAACCTGAAAAAAACAACAACTAATCCATTCATACACATTCACCCGTCGCTGGTGGTCGTATTTTTTTTGTCAGAAATGACAGAAAATGAATCAGGGGTAAAAATCAATGGGACTTTGTTGGGACTTAAATTTAGGTCACCAAATGTTTATATCATCCTTTACCTGCTTTCTTCGGGTCTACCGATACACCCTCCAGACCAGCAGGTGGCAGTAATGCATTCACACCGCACATTGAATCTGGTGGAAGAGGAGAAGAAATATTGGGTGATGGTTTCGAAACTGCAGAAAGAAAACAAAGCTGAACGGTGTGCTGTCCTTCCTCTGAACACTGAGATCACTACATGACCTGTGAGTATAAATCAGCTCTAACATGAAGAAGCTCATGCAGCATGCAGGTCATCGTCTTCCTCCTTTTTAAAATCAGGTTTCATTCTTAAATCTGCTCATTCAAGAGACTCTACCGGCTCATCACACCGGCCAGCTGATCGTTACTTTGAAGTTCAAACATCACACTCAGAAACAGTTCAATGTTTAACAACGAGAATAATCTGCAGTTATTTATATAAATGATGTATTTGAATGAAGAGCCTGCAAACTGCTGCTGCTCTCAGTATTACATCTTTCTTTCTGCTTTTATAAATGAATGCATTTCCCTTTATTTTAGACTACACAGTCTGTTTTCTGTAAATTCAACACACAGGGGAAGTTTCCTTTAAAAGTTTACAGAAGTGAAGACTAGAATTCAGACAGAAAAGGTGTAAAAAATAAATAAATCATATAACATGCAACTAACACTGGGAATAAACTGCACTGGGCTGGAAACCTACAGAGACCCTGAAGTCCCAAAAAAATAAAAATAAAATAATTATAATTGTGCTCACAAGATAATATATATATATTTTTTAACTTGTTGGGACTTCAGGGCCTCCTTAGAAACCAGAAATACCTTAAAGTTACTAAAAATTAAATAAATTCAACACAAAAAGAAGAGCACATTTGATCATTGACTGTAAAAGACTCTGAATCAGAAATACTTTATGAATCCCATCCAGGACGTAACCTTGCTCTTAAACTTTACGTCTAAAAGTGTTTAAGAAAAAAGTGTTTTAATGTTTTCAGCTCCTCTCAGATTCTCCGTCAGACTGTCGGCGCGCTGCCCTCAGTCAGTTTAAAGTTGATATAATACATCAGGATGTGAAGATTAATCGTAAAATCAGGATTAATCAATTCAAAGGTGTCAAGATTCACATCGGTCAGCAGCTGTAGAGCGAGATTTTAGAAATTGAGGACGCACCACCGTCTTATAGATCAGAGGTGTGGAAACGTTTTGGCTTCACAAAGACAGAAAATGAAAGAGGAGAGAAGATAAGACAAAAACTGTGAAAATATTACAAGAAGACTGCAGGAACTAGGAACTACACAAATTGCATAACAAACATGATGCAGCATTTAATCAACACCACAACGAGAAGCTGCAATCACCTGTTGAGAGAAAACAAACATTAAAAGGACAAACCACACTGACCAGCGGGTTAGCAGCCCCTAAAGGAATCTTTATCAGTCATCATTTGTCTTCAGTCTCATTTTGTTAAATAAGTCGTGAGAGAATCGTTACACCTTAATCATCAAGTCGTGGCTAAGAAGCAGAAAGAAACTGCAGAGAGGTTAATCTGATAGAAACTAAACAACAGATGACATAACTTTGGACAAACTGCTCTGAAAATGTTTCCTGTTTGTCTTCACAGCTGGTGAAAGTGTAGATCACCAGATCGTCTGCAGACGTCTTAAACACGAGACGATCAGTCGGTAAAAGAGTTTAAAATAAAAAGTCTTAACAAGAGGAAAAGATGACAGCTGTTCCACTGTTTGACTTTCTTTAGTCCATCACATCAATCACAAGTTAAAACAGTGATTCAATACAGACCTGGTTTGCCGCTAGACAGTCCTCGCTCCTCGGCTGTGTGGATGTCTTTCTGTTATTATATGATTTATTTGTTTATTCAGGATTGAATCAAACAATCGTATCAACATAAAAAACTTCAAATATTTAAACTCCTTCCAACATTTCTGAAAGAATGAACACTGACAACAAATCTACAGCGAATAAAACCGACCAAACTGACTGAATGTCCGATGCTTCTAACCAATATTTTTATTTGCATTTTCATTTAGTAACACACACACAAAAAAGACAAACATATAGACATAACATTGACAGTATAAAAACAAAACAAAACAACAACAACATACAACAAAGGAGAGAAGACAGCATGACAAAACATAGACTAAAAAAAAAATAGACAATATTAAGTCACATCAGATGAAAAGTTCTTATTTAGTTGATAATCAAGCCTGTCATGGAACTTCATTTTTCTTTTTCATGATTTCACAATATATTTAACACATCAACATTACCCAGCAAACGGGGGAAAGGTGCCCAGATCTTTCTGATGCTTCTTAAGCTTTCTTTTCTCACTGATTAAATCTGGTTAATTTGAAGTATCATAAAGTATCAAACTTTAATAAAATGTAGATTTTCAGTCATATTTTTCACATAAAGCGAGAAAGAGAGAGAGAGAGAGTGCAGCGGTGGTCTTTTTAAATTCACAGGTTGATGAAAATTGAAGTTTCTCAAGCTCTATGGTGTTAAACCGAGACGCTGCTTGGCAACAGGCCCCAGACCAGTGGGGGCTATGATAGTAGAAAAACCTCCCTAAGGGGTCCTCATCTGACAGCAGTCACTCTCGTTGCCCTGCTAAGCGTTGCATGAATTATTGCTGTGGAAACCGAAAATTGTCAGTGAAAGTCAACAAATAAAACTGAAGAGGAATTATCCGTCTGTAGGGGAGAAAAAAGAAACAGGAAGAAAGAGGACGAGGAGGAACACTGGTTAAGTATTGCCTCGGGCACGTTTCTCTCTCTTTCAAACAGACAGGAAGCAGAGGTCTGAATTGCTGTTGTGTGAGTCAGTCAGTGTGCAGAGAGTTTGTTTGCAATCTTTTGGCAATTTAAAAACAAGAAAGTACTAAACATGTGGAGCCTAGTGCCTCTTTTGTTGTTGCCGTGGTATCCAGACAGGTATCAAAACAATTAGATTATTACTGGAATCATATCTCAGTTTAACACAACACTACATCGGGTCTTACATTAAATCCAACCGCACATATAAAGGAAGAAATCCCAGCGAGTCAGTGATTGGTTATAAAAACCATGAACATGTAGCATTATTCTTTTGTCCACTTGGAGGCGCTGTTACACAACATGTCTCTGTTACACCTGTCATTACCCGTCTGTCTGATCTGGATCCTGTGAGAGGATCAGGATGTAAAACATGTCTTTACAAAAAGCATCAGCAGAGGGCGCTGTCAGCCTTGCGGTTAGTTTTCTCGCCCCATGTGTGGAGGCTGGAGTTCTCTGAGCAGGGTTCGAGTCCCACCTGTGGCTCCTTTTTCGCGCATGTCATTCCCCTCTGTCTCTCCCCCCCTCTCTCTCTCCTCTCTCTCTCTCTCTCCCCTCTCTCTCTCGCCCTCTCTCTCCCCCTCTTACTTTCACCCTCTCTCTCTCTTTCTCCCTCTCCCTCTCTCCCTCTCTCTCTCTTTCTCCCTCTCTCTCTCCTCTCTCTCTCCCTCCCTCTCTCTCTCCTCCCTCCTCTCCCTCTCTCCCTCTCTCCCTCCCTCTCTCTCTCTCTCCCTCTCTCTCTCCTCTCTCCCTCCCCTCTCTCTCTCTCCCCTCTCTCTCCCTCCCTCCCTCTCTCTCCTCTCTCCCCTCTCTCTCTCCCTCTCTCTCTCTTCTCCTCTCTCTCTCCTCTCTCTCCTCTCTCTCTCTCTCTCTCTCTCTCCTCTCTCTCTCTCTCTTTCTCCCTCTCTCTCTCTCTCTCTCTCTCCCTCCCTCTCCCCTCTCCCTCTCTCTCTCTCTGATTTCTGACTCGGAAACTGTGTGTGTGTGTGTGTGTCGTGTGTTGTGGTGTGGTGGTGTTGTGTGTGTGTGTGTGTGTGTGTGTGTGTGTGTGTGTGTGTGTGTGTGTGTGTGTGTGTGTGTGGTGTGTGTGTGTGTGTGTGTGTGGTGTGTGTGTGTGTGTGTGTGTGTTGTGTGTGTGTGTGTGTGTGTGTGGTGTGTGTAGGCTGCAGACATGCTGACCTGTGATATCTGCGGTGAGCAGCTCCTGCTGGAGGACGACCTGAAGACTCACCTCCTGCTGAGCCACGAGGAGAACGACATGCGCTGCCCGCTGTGCTCGCTGAGCGGGGTGTCGTACGACCAGCTCCGCTTCCACGTTAGCTCCGCCCACCCCGAGGAGAGGGATCCAGCAGATCAGTCCACATCCAAACACACGGGAGGAACACACACTGAGTCCTGCAGGTCCAGAGAGACTGCATCCTTCACTTCAACACCACAGAGACCTAAAACCAGACCGGAGTCTTCCTCACACAGAAAAGCCAAACAGAAGCGTCTCTCTTCAACCACAAAAGGTGAATCAAACGCAAAAAAGTCTGTTTGATTTTTTTGTTCAGCAGATAAATATTTTTCAATCAATTTAATAAATATATTTAATAAATATATTTATTTATTAAATATATTTAATAAATATATTCAGGAGGAGAATCCTTCTTCATTCTGCACATCAAGAAGAAAGTCAAAATGTTCTGAAAAAATCAGAAATGTCAAGAAAAAGTCACTCTCTCTCTCTCTCTCGCTCTCTCTCTCGCTCTCTCCCTCTCTCTCTCTCTCTCCTCTCCTCTCGCTCTCTCTCCTCTCTTCCTCCCTCCTCGCTCCCCCTCTCTCTCTCCCCATCTCTCTCCCTCGCTCCCTCCTCTCCTCCCTTCCTCTTCTCGCTCCCCTCTCTCCTCGCTCTTCCCTCTCTCTCTCTCTCTCTCCCTCTCTTCCTCTCTCTCTCTCTCTCACTCTCTCTCTCTTCCCCCTCTCTCTATCCCTCTCCTCTCTCTCCCTCGCTCCCTTCTCTCTCCCTCTCTCTCCTCTCTCTCTCTCTCCTCTCTCTCTCTCTATCTCTCGCTCTCCCTCTATCCTCTCTCTCCCTCTCCTCTCTCTCCCTCGCTCCCTTCTCTCTCTCCTCTCTCTCTCTCTCTCGCTCTCTCTCTCTCGCTCCCCTCTCTCTCTCCCTCGCTCTCTTCTCTCTCCTCTCTCTCTCTCTCCTCTCCCTCGCTCCCCTCTCTCTCTCTCTCTCGCTCTCCCTCTATCCTCTCTCCTCTCCCTCGCTCCCCTCTCTCTCCCCTCTCTCTCTCGGTTTCATCCTGATTCATTCATCTTAATTTAAAAACATCCCTCTCCTCTCATTGTGTGTTTGTACAGATGATCAGCTGCAGTGCCCGCTGTGTCCTCTGCTCTGCAGCACCGGCGCCGTCCTGCAGGAGCACGTGGAGCTGCACCTGATGGAGCAGAGGTCACCTGGAGGTAACGCCCCTCTGTTTACCACCAGGTGTTGCATTAATGAAAGTTCTTATAACCGATCTCACTCAGACGTTTTGTTTAAAATGTGTTTTTAGGAAAGTTTGAGTGCCCGCTGTGCTCCGTGCTCTGCAGCGACAGCGTCTCTCTGCAGGAACACGTCGAGCTGCACTTAGACCAGGGGGC